GGGAAGAAGAAGAAAAGGAAGGAGGATAAGGGAGGAAGGGGGAAAAAAAGAAGAAAAAAAAGATGAAGAGGGGGAAAAAGAAGAAGAAGAATGAAGAAGAGGAAGAAGCAGGAGAAGAAGGAGAAGAGGAAGAAGAAGAAGAAGAAGAAGAGGGAGAAGAAGCATCTTCTTCGTTCCACTCACCTTGTTAATGTCTTGGAGATGGAGTCTCAACCTTGATGAGGCTTCTTCCTCCTTGCACAAATACTCCCTTGGCTATGAGTTCCTTCTTCCTCAAGCCTCTTTCTCCTTCCTCTTCCTCCCTACCCAAGTTATGGCAAACTCCTCTCACTATGGCTATGGAGTCCTCCCCTCTAGGAGGGCTAATGGGACTCCCTCTAGCCTCTCTCCCTTCCTCACACCCTAGGGGCTATGGTTGATCACCTCCCCAGTGCCAGCCTCACTACCACTAGCCTCTAGAGCTCCTGTCCCTAGCTCATAGTCTCCTTTAAGCTCCCAAACTGACATGGGTTCCCCTCTCCTCTCTCCAAGTGAAAGAGTGCTCCTATGAGCTCACTTGGGCAGCATGGGCACTCCTCATGCAATTGTGAATATGGCAGACTGAATTCCCAGCTTATGTAGGCTGAAACCAGCAGTCCGGCCAGCCCATGGGCCTCCCCATGTGCCTTGAGGTGAACCGAGGTACCCCCAAGGCAAAATTCCACTACTTGGATCTTACGGAGGTACCCGGGCCTCATTTTGGCCAAGTACATGCAGTCCGAGTGGTTGGTACCAACTCGGATTGCCTCTTGGCCTCCTTCGGCCTCCTTTTCACTTCCAAAATGCTGCCCCCTTGGGTCCTAATGCCGAAGGGGCAGCTTTACTTGAGAGGAAAAAGACCTAGTGGGCCTTTTTCTTGATTTTTTCAGTTTCTACCCCATTTTGGGTAGGCCGAGATATTTTCCCATGCAGCGGTGCACTTTCAGCCTTGGATCTGGCTGAGATCTAAGGCCAACAATATTCCGTGTCACCCCCAAGTAGCCCTTGCTTCAAATTTGAGCCCCCAAGTCCACTTTTTCAATTTTTGGTGCATCTATCTCCCTTTTTGGGCCAAATGCACAGTTTCGCCTTTTTCCCTCTTTTGTTTCTTTCCATTTTGGGCTGCCACCTCATTCAGGAGCTAGCCTTTTTTAGCTGGCCTACAAAACACGGCTAGTTCCTCTTTACCATGAGATCTGATCTCAGATCCATGATCCACGAAAAAAAACGGTCATCTCCCTTTTGCATTTTCTCACATTTTTCTCTTTTTAATTCAAATTTAGTGGAGATATGGCCCCAAGGGCCATATCTCTGCAATCCAGATTGCCCTCCCTCATTCTAGGAGGGATGAGGTCACAGTTGGGACCTGCCAGTCCCTACTGCGTAGGTCCCAATAGGTCGGCACATTCTCCTCCACACTTTCCTCCTCTTTTGTCTCATTCTCTCTCCATTTTCTCTCGTTTTTCTTTCTTTTTCTTTCATTTCAGTTGTAACAAGTGTCAAGCAGTTGTGCACCCTCTTTCTAGGCCTTGGGGCCTCCTCATTCATGGCCAGATTCATGGCTGGTACTTGGCCGTTATATCTCGGATTACAGTAATGGCACCCCCATGCTCCTAGGGGGCTCCATTTTGCCTCCGTTAGTCCCAATTTTAAGCCTCCTTTGCTCCGATTTTCTTTGGGCAACCTTTTTCTCATGTTGAGCCTCTTGAGGCTCTATTTTCTCATGCTTAGCTAGTCCGAGATATCTCGGACTGCTGGGCAGCCCTCCCAACACCATCATTTTACTTTCTTTTCTCTCATGACTCTCCCACTTGCCCCATGCCGAAATCACTTTTTTCTAGTTTTTTTGGGTTTGTCGTGACTCATTTTCCCTTAGCCTACGCATCCTCATGCAGTCCGTTATTTCTCGGACTGCATTCATGGCCATTTTTCTAGTCTCACAGCCCCACAACTTGCCCCATGCTAGAAAAAAATGAAGCGTTTGATTTCTAAGTGCATCTGGACTCGATATTGGTTTCGGATGCACCTAAAACATGTGTTTTCCCTTCCCCATGCAGTCCGTTGCAACTCGGACTGCAATAGGGGTCAATTCCCTAGCCCCAATGCCCCACAACTAACCCCTAGTTGAAAGAAAAAGAAACGACCAACTTCCAAGTGCATCCGGATTCAATTTTGGCTCCGGATGCACCTAAAACATGTGTTTTTCTCCTCCCCCATGTAATCCGTTATTTTTCGGTTGCATGGGGCCTTGATTTTCTTTTATTTTCTCTACAAAAATCAAATTAAATCAAAGTCCATTGCAAACGCCATATTCCAGAATGAATCTGGTCACGGATGTATCTACTCAAGTGGCCGTTTTTTACCGTTAAGACTTTTTTTCTTTTCTTTTATTTTTTTTTTCTTTTCTTTTCTTTTTCCTCCTTTCTTGGACAGTAGGGACCTGCCAGTCCCTACTTGTGGCAGTCCCTACTGATGGCTAACTCACTCACTCCCTCTCACTCTTTTTGTCTCATTCTCCCACATTTTTTTTTTTTTTCTTTCTTTTTTTCTAGCATGCCAAGTGTCAAGTGGCCGTTAAGGCCCTTTTCTAGCCCCTTCCTCTTAGTTTTGGCCCTTCCTATGCCCAAAGTGCAGTCCGTTATATATCGAACTGCAATAATGGCCTCCTCATGCCCATGGGAGCTTCCTTTTACCTCTATTTTTCTCCCACAGTGGCCCCTCCTACTCCGATTTTCTCTCGGAGGCCTATTTTTATCATGGGGTCTCTCTCGACTCTATTTTCTTGAGAGAGGCTGATCCGAGATTTTTCGGATTGCTCCCATGCCTCCGACTTCAAGTATCTTTGCTTTTTCTTTTCCTTTTGGCCTCCCCGTTAGCTACCGCTAGTGCTTGCACTAGTGGTGCTAATATTTTTGACCGTCAAGATCTCGATCTTGACGGTGCACCTTGTCTTAATTATTTTTCCTTCATGAGGTGCCACCGTTTCCTCTTGAGACCTCCTCATGCCTCCGCCACTTGTCCCACCAGTGGTCCCGACACTTAGTCCCGTCGGTGGTCCCCGACACTTGGTCCCGTCGGCGGTCCCTGACACTTTGTCCCGTCGGCGGTCCTCGACACTTTGTCCCATCGGCGGTCCTCGACACTTTGTCCCGTTGGCTATCCCCGACACTTTGTTCCGTCGGCGGTCCCCGACACTTAGTCCCGTCGACGGTCCCCGACACTTTGTCCCGTCGACGGTCCCGAACACTTTGTCCCATCGGCGGTCCCTGACACTTTGTCCCGTCGGCGGTCCTCGACACTTTGTTCCGTCGGCCGTCCCCGACACTTTGTTCCGTCGGCGGTCCCCGACACAGTTCTGTCGGCGGTCCCCGACACTTTGTTCCGTCGGAGGTCCCCGATATTTTATCCCGGATACCATTATTTTTACTTAGTCCCACGTGGCCCATGGCGCCTTTTTTTCACATTCTTTGGGTGTCTACCGCCCTATGGTGGCCCTTCTCTCTTACTTTTTCTTGGGCCTTGCGTGTGCTATTTTTCTCGATCGCAGGGCCTCCATCCCGCACCTCCCTCTAAATGTCGTAGGTGGCCCCCATGCCGGACCCTTATTCTCTAGCGTCCCACGGCCTCCGGGGCCGTCCACCTCTCGACTTCGTCATTCTTTTGTCGCCGCCGCGCCGTGTTCGCCTGGTCAATGGCCCCTTGGCCTTGGTCTTGCCGAATTTCGCTGGCCCTCCTGGCCTCACGCTATGTTCTATGTGCCCTTGTCCTGACGCTCACTTGCTTGCCGTTGCTGGTTCCTTCCCCGACGGTTCCCAACCCAGGGCATCATTCCTTCCGATGGCCTGGTCCTCTGTCTTTTCTCTCTCTTACCTCCTCACTCCAGATTTCTCTGTCGTGCACATTCTGGCTACATACGGTCTCTCGAGTGACGGGATGTTATTCGGGACCCACCAGTCCCGACAACGGCCCATCCGGATCAGTCCCTACGATGTCTAAGACCTCCCATGGCCCAAAATACTGAGGCATGAGCTTGCGGGAAATCCCATGCTCCTGTCCCACTTCTGAGGACTTAACCCAGACTTTGTCTCCAACATGAAATGTAGACGGGCAACGATGTTTGTTTTCATATTCTATCATTGTCGCCTGAGCCTTCTGCATGTGTTCCACTGCCTGCTGCATCTTCTGCTAATACCGGTATGCAAATTGTGAAGTACCGAGTACAGCAGTTGATCGGTATGCAAATTGTGAAGTACCGAGTACAACAGTTGATCGGTATGCAAATTGTGAAGTACCGAGTGCAGCAGTTGACTGATTTTCGGGTAGTAAGAAGTCTAGAGGCAGTCTAGGTTTGAAGGTCAGTAGCAGACTGTTACGGCTCACTCTGGTGGCGTTGTGCACAACATTGTTATAAAGACTCGCGATGAGAGCAAGCTTCTCGTCCCAGTCGACCTGATTGGGCTTGATGTAATGCCACAACAGTTGTTGGACAACGCGATTCAATTGTTCGGCCTGGCCATTGGCCTTGGGGTGATTACCCCAAGTCATTTGCAGCTGCGTTCCCTGCTCGTCAGCAGCAGCCTTCCACAACTCACTTGTAAATTTGACATCCCTGTCACTCACGATTGACTTGGGTATACCAAAATCTCTTACCCAGTTCTCTTTGAACAGTCTGATAACGTATTCGGTTTTTGTTGTCTCCGGCATGGCTATCAACCTAGCATACTTACTAAATTTGTCCACGATGACAAAGATCTGTCTCATGCCGCTCTTGCTCGTGATGAGCGTATCCATGAAATCCATGGACAAACTCTCACCAGGTCTTTCCGGAATCGGAAGGGGCTTCATGAGCCCAAGAGGAGCCTGAGTACGTGGCTTGTTTCTCTGACAGACCTGACAAGTCTCCACGTACAGTTGGGCATCTCGCATCATCGTGGGCCACCAGAACCGCTGCAGCAGATTGCCTGTTGTCTTTTTATAGCCAAAATGGTCGGTGGCATCATGACACTCTCCTAAAAATAAACTACGCAAAGACTCTCTATTTGGGACACACAATCATTTATTCCCTGCCTTCTCAAGGAACAACACGTCATTGACTAACTCAAACTCGGCAAAAGTCTTCTCATCCTTCGCCTCAAGTCTGCGTATGATCTCATACATGAACTCATCCTGGCGATAGGCTTCCACAATAGAGCGAGTAACATCGTCCGTAAGATCGAACTCAGTAATCAGTGCACCTGAGAAATCAGGTCTACGCGACAGCGCATCAGCAACCTTGTTGTACTCGCCCTTGATGTACTGGGGCTCGAAGTCATACTGCTTTATGACTTCAATCCAACGCTTCAGAGCGTCGGAGAGCACAGGTTGGGTTCTCATCCACTTCAATGTCTGATAATCAGTCCTGACGTAGAAGAACCTCCCAAGGAGATAGTGCCTCCAATGGGTGAGCGCCTTGTAGATCGCATAGAGCTCCTTCTCATAGGTGGACTTAGCCAACTTCTGAGAGGGCATCTTTTTGGACATGTACTCTATAGGCCTCAACTTTTTCCCCTCCTGCTGAGCAAGTACGGCGCCTATGCCATATTGGCTAGCATCCGTAGTTATTATAAATGGCTTGTCAGCATCAGGAAGTTTCAAAACCTCATGATGCGTCAGCGCATGCTTCAGATGTTTGAAAGCAGCCTCGCATCTGTCTGTCCACTCCCATGGGGTGTCAATGCGAGTTAGATCAGTCAAAGGGGCGGCAACTATGCTATAGTTCTTCACGAAGTTGCGATAGTAGCCGGTCATCCCTAACAAAGACCCCATCTCAGTCACAGACTGAGGACGCGGCCAGTCATGAATGTTGGCCACCTTCGCATCATCGGGCTTTAATCCGTCTGTGGAAATCTCATAACCCAAGTACACGACATGGGTGCGGCCAAACTCGCACTTCTCACCTTTGATCTTCAACTTGTGCTGTCGCAGAAGACTAAGGACTTTGTCCAAGTGAGCAACTTGCTCCTTGATAGTCTTACTAAAAAAATAAGTATGTCATGGAGATACACGATGACAAACTTATCCAAGTAATCATGAAATATCCGATTCATAGCGTGCTGAAAGGTGCCAGGAGCATTGCAAAGGCCGAAAGGCATCACCACAATCTCGTACAGACCGTACCTGGTCTGAAAAGCGGGTTTGTGTTGATCCTCGGACCGGATTGCAATCTGATGGTACCCGAACTTCAGATCTATCTTACTAAAGTACCGACACCCTTGCACTCTATCTAGCAAGTCATCGATGCGAGGTAGGGGCTCTCTGTTCTTGACAGTGATAACATTGAGGCCCCTATAGTCAATGCATATCCGAAGTGTTCCTACCTTCTTCTTGGGTACAAATTGGACGGGAGACCCATAAGGAGAAACACTCGGTCGGATCCAACCCTTTTCTACGAGTTCCTTGAGTTGCCGACGAAGCTCATCAAGCTCGCCTGGAGACATCCGATAGAACCTACCCTTTGGAATGCTAGACCCTGGGATAATCTCTATCGCGTGGACGACCTCCCTCTCAACAACCCCTGTCGGCTCTTCAAATAGATCAGGGTATTTAGCAACTACTCCCTCTATCTCCGGCGGCATTTTCACCGGCTCGCCTACAGCAGAGACATAAACTAGATACATACCCTCCTCCAGATTTTGCTTATAATAATTATAGAACGCTGCCGCACACATGCATCCATAGGACTCAATCAGACTACTAGCTTTGAACTTACGTAATCTGGCAGTCCCTCCACCTGGCAAAGTGTGTTTGACCACTTTTCGGTCCCAGTCAAACTGGGGTTGTGCCACAGAGAGGTAGTACATACCTGACAAGATATCCATGGGGAGTTCATCGCTCACTAGGAACGAGACACGATGTCTCAGTTCCCCTCCCGCGTACGGGAAGCAACACTCAACATTTTGGAGGTAGTCATTGACTACCATGCGCTGCTTGTTGGCACAGGTCGACTCCACAGGTCGACTCAGGCACTGCACTTGCCCTTATAAGCGCAACCTCTCAACGCACGCGAGACTAATGAAGTTCCGTGTCGAGCAAGTGTCATAATAGGCCCCGGCCTTGCGGCCGCCAATGGCCACCTCGTTGACGAACATCTCACCCTTAGGGACTTTGACCAATGTCGTCCAAGAAGCTAGCGGGTCTGATCTAGACCACTCCTCTAGCTCCTCTAAGGACTCAAACACATTCATCGAACAGAGGCTCGATGGGTCTGAACGTGTTTGTGGGACGACGCTGGAGTCAGTAGCTTGGGCCATCTCTCGAGATGGTGAGGGTGTGTGCACCACCTCGACCCTAGCAGGAACAGCTACTATTCCTATTGGCCCGACGTGTTTCTCGAAGCAGTGTCAGGAGTGTTAGCCACATTGCTACCAACGGGAGTGGAGGATCCCAACGCCTGCCCCATCGTAGGCGGGATCTTCTCGGTCACCTTCTTGTTTCGGCATTTTAATTGGTTATGGCCATATTGGTCACAACGGATACAAGATTGCCGTGTGTACCTATCTCTCCACACGTCCTCAGTGACACCCGCTTTCTCCCATGGAGGAGCATTGGGGATAACTTGACTCCTTGACCAGGAACCTCCACGACGTCTACCGGTCGCCTTACCTTTCTGTGCTACGGCAGTGACTACTCCACACCGTGAAGCCTCTACGCTGCCAGCCTCTGAACCTACTCCCACCAGGAATTCGTCGTCCAACTCGATGGTAGAACCATCGTTGTCGACGAACATAATGCGGCCCTTCGCCTTCCAGTTGGGAGGCAGTGTCTTCTTCCTACCATCCGTCGTGGGATTATGCCCATGCCCTATCTTTGCCTCAAGGTCTAGGGCCCTCTTGCTAAACGAGGGAAAGTTGTGCATATTGATGTTGGCCTCACCTGCCAACTGATTCTTGAGGGGCATGGGAAAGCATCTCAGGTAGGAGGTGAGTAAGACCTGGGGGTCATAGCGCACCCCAGGGACACAGATCGGACGCTCTACAACTTAAGTGGCCTCACTTACTGACTTAAACTGCCTAGTGTGCAGTGTCAGGATCGCGTCAGCGGCCTTCTGGGCCTCCTGAGGATCGTGCCACCTGTCTTCCACCAACTTGAGAAAGTCATCCAATTTCTGGGTGACCGCCCAAGCGCGAAAGTCATGACCGTACCCCTGCAGCTGCACTAAACCACTCAACCATCGTGCTGCACTCCCCTCTAAATAGGAGGCAGCCACAAGCACTTCCTCGTGCGGCAAGGTAAGTTTGCACTTGACATAGACYGGCACTGCCCTCAACCAAGTGTCGAGGTTTTCGCCCCTCTTATCCCCTGTAAAGGGTTTTGGAGCAGCGATGGCCGTCTTCGGTACCCACTGACTTTGTCCCGGTCCCGACATCACTCCGGGCTGTGGACCCTGCGGTACAGGCTGTTGCAATATACTCTGCGGTTGTACAGGCTGCGAGACAACAGGCTGCACACTTACGGCAACCTGCGACGGAGGTTGGGTACTGTCTGTACAGGAACCTGTAAACTAGGACCTGCTGAGAGCCCTCCTGCTAACGACATACCCAGGGAAACGGTATGGACCGATGCTGGAGCTGTATACGGGGATACCCCAGTCACCGGTGGGACAAAAGGAGGAGGATGTACAACGGGCCAGGCACCGGGCCCGGACGGTGATGGCGCCACCTACATTCACCCGACTAACACAGCCGGACTCTGTTGGATGTCCCGTAAGATCTTCGTCTGGTGATCTTGCATCTCTACTACAGTTAACAAGACCGACCGTATGGTTCTCACATCATCCTCCATCTCTGCTGGGTCCATCTCCTCTAACTCACTAATGTCCGCCTTCGCTGCATCCTGGCTCTTCTCCTAATCATTCTCTCTTTCGCAGCCTTAATCTCTCCCAAAGCCTGTTGTAGTTGTGCCTCGCGATCAGCAGCTCGCTGTATGGCGACCTCCTCAGGAGTCATCACTAAGGGTTGGCTTGCCATTACGCCAGTGGACTGACTCAAAGTCTGCGCGACAGTTGACCCTAGAGATCCTGAACTACCAGCCTCAGAGGTCTGCTGCGCAGCAGTGGCCATGACTGCTGAAGTAGCTGCCTCGCTTACTAATGCCCTGCTTGCCTCTGCGGCCCTAGCTCTTCTCTGTTGTTGCTGCCTCTCTCTCAGCGGGCGGAACAAGTATCTGTCGCCCTCTCGTCCTAATGCCAAATAGCCAATCGAGCGTCTAGCCGATCGCAAGAGTCGGTCGTCTGGTTGTGGAACCTCCCTATCGCTCATAAGCTACAAAACTAAGCACAATTTGCACTAGGCTACTCGAGGTGCCTACCACAGCGTAATGCCCAGACCAATTTAAAATAAATAAATAAATAATTGCTGACTTTTTTGGAGTAGATACATTTGGGATCAACAGGTAAGTTCAAATTCCTACAAATGATACTATTCTACTTTGACTAGCTTGCAAACAGAAAGCACAATGAACAAAATCAGTTCTAAACTATGCTATCTGTCAGATGTCAATGGCAGTACATCTAACTAATCAAAATAAAAATAATGTCATTTGTTTGGTCTGTTTGCAGCATGGGATCTTACTCAAACTTATCACCTGGAATCGACACTTGACGTCAGCGTCCCTGAGCAATCCGATTTGGCGTGCTTGACTAAAGGTGTGCACACGGCCCACCCCTGTGCCCCGAGTATCTGCTGAGCTGACCAGCCCTGCACTGTGTTTATCCTCACGTGCAGTGAGCCTTACACCAGTTGGCTGATCCAGAGGCAATTTAACGACCGCCCCCAAGTGTCATCAGGAATTATTTTACGTCGCAGCAGGACGACGATCACAACCAATGGTTTCCCCAGCCGGTGCTTATTTACAGACGCCCAGTACTCGTCTCTCCCACAGGGTTGGCCTGCCCTTCAGTACCCCTTCTATGAGCACAGCAAGCTCTACTCCCGGTCGGTTGGCATGGTGACCGTGACCCAGTGCTCCGTCCAGGGCCCTTCAGAAAGCACCACCCTCTCCTTCCAGATGCTCCACGTGAACAATGCCGACTCTCAAGGTTGAGCGCACACGACACCTCACATGAGAGGACTCTCAAGAAAGAATCACAACCTCACGGTAAGAAATGATGAAGAGGGTAGATAAGGTTAAGAGCAACGTACCTCATTATAGCTGCCCCCAACCACATATATTCTCACCAGATGAGCTGATGGCGATTGCGATGACCAGTCACTGCATCGACACAACCAGCACTTTCTCGCCGTTCCACCTCAGCATCAATCAACCACCAGATAGTTCTCATCACACAGCGAACATCCCATATACACACCGTAGCCTTCCTGGCGATTCCCCTCTCCTCCTGGGTCGCCACACCTTGTCTCCGCCCTCCTCACTACACACCGCCTACGGCCTCACTCACCAAGCAGACCACGTGTATGTACCGCATAGGCAGAAGACAAGCGCCAGATGAGCGCAACGTACCACAACTTCGATACCAAATTGCAAGGAAGATGAGCAATAGCGAACTTCAACAATCAAACAACATCATATACATAAGACCAGATAGTCGTGACCTCAAACCAAGAGCAGAATTGCATCACGAGTTCCACCAAATAAGAGCACAACACAAGCTCATAATTGACAATAGTCTCATCATCATCATCAACAAAGAACCAATGTTGATATCCTATCTGGCGCTCGGCGCCCACACTACAGATGGCAGATCCTATCTAGCCTAGACTACAATGCCGAAGATGACGACAACAGCTCTTCCGAAGTACGAGCAGATAGCGGCCAATGTCGCACGCTTCCAGCACCAGCTATGTCTCTCGCATTACTCACAACCTCGTTCCTCAACACACATATGCCGCATACACCCAAGGACCACCCTGCGCCACACCCAGCTCACAACAGCGCAACTCGGCTATGGCTGCCTGCTCCTTCCAGCTCGCCCGTGAGCGCGTGAGCGTTGGCCAGCTTCAGCGCAGCAGCGCTTGCGCAGCATGCAGCCAACACCCTAATGACCAATGCGGAGGCAGGCCCTTTGCTATATGGAAGTGACCTGCCTGCGTTCTGTCCCAGGCTGCGCTGGGCCTTTCCCAAGAAGCTTCCGGTAGGCCCCAGTAGGCTAAGGCCCAGTCCGAAACAAATCAGGCCCAAGGCCTGAGGTGGTTGCTTGTGCCCAACTGCCTTCGGCCTATGTTTGGCCCACATCCCGTATTCAGCCCAGGGCCTGCCTTCGATACATGAAAACAAGCGGCCCAAGGCCTGGGTTCTTTCAACCAACTGGCGCTGCGCAACTGCCTGAATTTCCTTAGTTGCGTGGTGGCCGAAATAGGGGCCCTCAGGTCCTCGTCGAGCCTGCCTTCACTTAGGGCGGCCGACGTGCTGCTTAACAGGGCCTGAAAGGGGCTCATCGAGGCTGTGGCCTCGCACTTTTCTCTTTCCCTTTGATTTAAATTTTCTCGTTTCCTCCAAAAATTCGAATTATCTTAGTCCCTACTTCTTTTCTCGTTTTCTGATTTATTTTTATTTTTATTTCATTTAGTCTGAAAATTTGAATTTTTCTGCAGCACCTCTATATCTTGCTAGGACTTAGTCTTTTCTGTTGTCGGCGCATATTTTGACCCCTTGGGGGTAACGAAGTGCTGCCAAAAATTTTGTTTTTCCTCCCTACTTTCTTCTTACCGCATATTTTGACCCCTTGGGGGTAGCTGCAAGGAAGATGAGAATTAGCGAACTTCAGCAATCAAACAGCATCATACATATGAGCCCAGATAGTCTTGACCTCGAACCGCAGCAGACTGGCATCATGAGATACACCAAATAAGAACACACCAAGAGTTCAAAATTGACAATGCTGAAGGAGTCCCATCATCATCAACTACGAACCAGAGTTGATATCCTATTGGCGCTCGGCGCCCAGACTACAGGTGGCAGATCCTATCTAGCCTATACTGCGAAGCAGAATGATGACATCAACAACTTTCCCGAAGTACGAGCATATGGCGACCAATGTCGCACGCTTCGGCACCAGGTATGTCTCTCGTAACACTCACAACCCCGATCCACACCGCACAGATGCCACTAGCACCCCAAGGACCACCCTGCGCTTCACCTAGCATACAGCAGTGCAGCTTGGCTATGGCTGCGTGCTCCCTCCTACTGGGTGAGAGCGTGAGTGCCAGCCAGCCAGCGGATTGCGCAGCAGCGCTCACGCAGCATGCAGCCAGCACCCGAATGCCGAATGAGGAGGCATGCCCTTCCCTATATCGAAGTGGCCTGCCTGCGTCCAGTCCAGGAAGCTTCCGGTAGGCCCCGATAGGCACAGGCCCAGTCACGAAGAGAGCAGGCCTTGGGCCTGAAGTGGTTGCATGCGCCCAACTGCTTTCGGCCTGTGTTTGGCCCGATACCCGTATCCAGCCCACGGCCTGCTTCACATTCATTTACACAGGTGGCCCAGGGCCTGGATTCATTCAACCAACTGGCGCAACGCAACTGTTTGAATTTCCCCGATGCGGGGTACCCTGAAGAATGAGGCCCGAAGGGCCTGTCGTGCCTGCCTTCACTTAGGGCGGCCGACCTTGTTGTAGATAAGGCCCCGTAGGGGCTAAGCGGGTGTAGCCTCGCATTCCCTCCTCCATATCTTCGTTAGTCCTCTTCGAAGATCAATCTGTAGCCATCTGGCGCTTTCCTTTCAGTACATCCTTCTCATAGCGGGCAACGATTTGAGGAGCGGTCTGCATCAGTTCCTCCCGAGTAAGCCAGCGGTCCTCCTTCGGATCTGTATGATGTCTGAAGTGGACTCGGAACTGCAGCTTTGGCTTTGGAGGACGTCCCCTTCCTGGAGGCTTCTGAACAAGCATCTCCCTGTGGTCAACGATATCATCGATGTCGACTTCTCCGTCCATGGTTGGGGGCAGCATGGATCGACGAGAGGGAAACTGATCAGTTTCCTCGAATGCAGCGAGCTTAGAGGCGTGAAAGACTGGGTAAGTTCTGAGATGACCAGGGATACGGATGACATATGATGGACCATCAGGATCTGTCCCTACTACGTCCAAAATGTCCCAAGGTCCAGAGTACTGAGGCATGAGTTTGCGGGATATCCCGAACTCCTGTCCCAGTTCTGAAGATTTGACCCAGACTCTATCCCCAACCTGAAATGTAGAAGGGCGGCGGTGTTTATTCTCAGACTCTATCATTGCTGCCTGTGCCTTCTACATGTGTTCTACAACCTCCTCCCTCTTCTGTTCATATCTATAGGCGAACTCCAGAGTGTCCAGTGTAGCAGTTGGATGGTTGTCTGGAAGCAGGAAGTCTAAGGGCAGTCTAGGCTTGAATGTCAGTTGTAGACTCTTAGGACTCGTCCCGGTAGCACTGTGCACAGCGTTGTTATATAGACTAGCGACTAGAGCAAGCTTTTCGTCCCAGTCTACCTGATTGGGCTTGATGTAGTGCCTCAACAGGTGTTGCACAGCGCGGTTCATTTGTTCAGCCTGGCCATTAGCTTCTGGATGATTTCCAGAAGTCATCTGCAGTTGAGTTCCTTGTTCAGCTGCAGCGGCCTTCCATAATTCACTCGTGAACCTGACGTCCCTGTCACTTCCTATAGACTTCGGCAGTCCAAAATCTCTAACCCAGTTTTCTATAAATAGCCTGATCACGTACTCGGTCTTTGCTGTTTCTGGCATAGCTATTAATCTAGCAAACTTACTAAACCTATCCACGATGACAAAGATCTGTCTCATCCCACTCTTGCTGGTGACCAGCGTATCCATGAAGTCCATGGATAAACTTTCACCCGGCCTTTCCGGAATCGGAAGGGGCTTGAGCAGCCCAAGAGGAGCCTGAGTACGGGGCTTGTCTCTTTGGCATACTTGACAAGTTTCCACGTATAGCTGTGCATCTTTCATCATCCTGGGCCACCAGAACTACTGCAGCAAGTTGGCTGCGGTCTTCTTGTACCCAAAATGGCTGGTGGCATCATGACACTTGCCTAAAAACAAACTACGCAAGGACTCGCTATTTGGAACGCACAAGCGTTTATTCCCTGCCTTCTCTAGGAACAGCAATCCATTGACCAACTCAAACTCGGCGGAGGTCTTCTTATCCTTCGCCTCAAGTCTGCATATGATCTCAGACATAAACTGGTCCTGACGATAGGCTTCCACCAAAGACTGAGTAACATCGTCCGTCAGATCGAACTCAGTAATCAGCGCACCTGAGAAGTCCGGTCTGCGCGATAAGGCATCAGCAACCTTGTTGTACTCCCCTTTGAGATACTGAGGGTCAAAGTCATATTGCTCAATGACTTCGATCCAACGCTTGAGAGCGTCAGAGAGTACCGATTGTGTTCTCATCCATCTCAGGGTCTGATGATCAGTCCGGAGGATGAAGAACCGCCCAAGGAGGTAGTGTCTCCAATGGGTGAGAGCCTTGAACACCGCATAGAGTTCCTTCTCATAAGTGGACTTAGCCAACTTCTGAGACAACATTTTCTTGGACATGTACTCTACTGGCCTCAACTTTGGCCCCTTCTGCTGCGCAAGCACGACGCCAATGCCATATTGGCTAGCATCCGTGGTTACTATAAATGGCTCGGGTAGCTTCAAGACTTCATAGTGCGTCAATGCATGCTTCAAATGTCTGAAAGCAGCCTCGCACTCATCTGTCCACTCCCACGGGGTGTCAAGGCGGGTCAGATCAGTCAAAGGAGCGGCCACAATGCTATTTTTCTTTACAAAAGTACCGACACCCTTGCACTCTATCTAACAGATCATCGATGCGCGGTAGGGGCTCTCTGTTCTTCACAGTGATGGCATTGAGGCCCCTATAGTCAATGCACATCCTTAGAGTTCCCTCCTTCTTAGGCATGAATAAAACTGGAGACCCATAAGGAGAGACACTCGGTCGGATCCAGCCCTTCTCTACGAGTTCCTTGAGTTGGGGGCGAAGCTCATCAAGCTCGCCTGGAGACATCCGATAGATCCTACCCCTTGGAATACTAGACCCTGGGATAATCTCTATCGCGTGGACGACCTCCCTCTCAACAACCCCTGTCGGCTCTTCAAATAGATCAGGGTACTTAGCAACTACTCCCTCTATCTCTGGCGGCATTTTCACCGGCTCGCCTGCAGCAGAGACATAGACTAAGTACATACCCTCCTCCTGATTTTGCTTATAATAATTATAGAATGCGGCCGCACACATGCACCCATAGGACTCAATCAGACTACTAGCTTTGAACTTATGTAATATGGCGGTCCCTCCACCTGGCAACGTGTGTTTGACCACTTTTC